CAAATGTTTTATAATCATTTTGTTTGATATTATTCATAAAAATGTGAAATAGGCCAATATCAAAACTCACAGGAATCTCATTTTCTCAGGGAAACTTACTCTAAAGAAGATAATTTGAAATAACATTGCACTACAACATTATGTAAATTTCAGGTTGGCATTACTGAAAATCAACACATGTATATCCCTTTTTTTTTTTTTTTAAAGATTTATTTATTTATTATTTATACAGATTGATTGATTGATTGATTGATTAATTGATACAAGCACTGGGTACAGTCAGAAGCGCGGGAGGGTGAGAGAGAATTCACCAGAGCCAGAGCGGGGAGCAGAGCAGGCAGAAGGACTGAAGTACACTGCTGAGGGGAGCAGCGGGTGGCAGGAGACTTCTGCGCGCCATGTGGGACCCTCCTCCGGTGTCTGGGGAGCAGCCGGGGATCGAACTGGCGCTGCAGAGGCTGCAGGAAGCTTCGCAACCCAACGCTCAACCGCTGCGCCACCGGGGAGGCCCACATGTATATCCCTTTAAGAAAGCACAAAGGTGGGCCTCCCGGGTGGCGCAGCGGTTGAGCACTGGGTTGAGCACTAGGTTGTGAGGCTGCCCACAGCCTCTGCAGTGCTGGCTCGATCCCTGGCTGCTCCCGGGCCACCAGAGGAGGGTTCCGCATGGCGCGCAGACATCTCCTGCCGCCCGCTGCTCCCCTCAGCAGTGTACTTTGGTCCTTCTGCCTGCTCTACTCCCCACTCTGGCTCTGGTGAATTCTCTCACCTTCCCGCGCTTCTGACTGTACCCAGTGCTTGTTTAAATAAATAAATAAATCTTAAAAAAAAAAATCTTGTTTTTTTTTTTAAAAAAAAAAAAAAGAAAGCACAAAGGGCCTCCCTGGTGGCACAAGGAGTAACATGTGAAGCTATCTGCAGCCTCTGCAGCAGACCTCTTCTGACTGGCCTGCTACTCCCTTCAGCAGTATATTTCAATCTGCCTGTTCTGTTCCCCACTCTGTCTCTGGTGAATCCTGTCACCCACGACACCTCTGGCCCGTATCCAGTTCTTGTATGCATAAATAAATAAATCTTTAAATAAAAAATAAGAAAGCACAAAGACAAGTCTGAAAAATATTGAGAGAAGAGACTGGCAATAGTATCACTTTACAAATTTGCAGAGAGATGATGGAACATTTCTAATGACTACAAAAGGGAACTCTGTACAAATGAGTGCTAAACCTCTAGCATGAAGTTTACCTGAATGCCTTGGTATAAAGCAATTATTGATTCAAAGCCAAAAAACCTAGAGAATCGTGCATATGGATTTGGATTATAAGAAAAATTCCTAAAACAAATTTCCACACACAGCATCCTTCACAGGGAAATGATTCAGCATTCCTACCCAGTCTCTACAACTATCTCCAATCCACTTTTCCAATTCTTTCATCATGTCTTTTGAATCCAAATTTTGGCATTAACTCTCCTAACTATGGTCCAATTTTAGACCAATGGTACTACACCTAAGGAATATTCCATTTAGCCACTTATTTAAATTTTGAAATACCCTATATTTTAGTTTCTAAAACATCGCCTTTTCTTACCTGTCTGCCTTCATTTTCTCTCTGAGTTCTTTTATGCCACTTTATCTGATGGACTGACATGCTAAAACATGATATGTATCAACTCTTTCCTTTTCCCCAATCTATGCTCTTCTCAGATGATCTCATCAAACACAACAGCTTCAAGCAGCACTTCTGCTCTAAAACCTTTCAAATATCTGTCTCTCTAAGCTGGATGATTCTTCTGAGCTGACTCATATGTGCTCAATACTAGTAAACATATCTGATGACAATTCATAGGCACCACAAACTTCACAATCAAAACCTACTTCAAGTGTTTCTCATTCTGAATCTTGGTAAATGGAATCACCATTCACTAAGGCAACCAAGCCCAAAATGCTAGAGTTATTCTAGCATTTTCTTCTCTGCTACATTTCCCATATTCAATAAAACTATTTCCTAAAAATTTTTGAGGAAACTACTATATATCTGATACTAAACTAGATATACTGCAGTAAGCAAATGAACTATCATTCTTGTACTCATAGAATTTACATCCAGATGGGTTATATAGAAGTAGAGAAATTGTACATATTCTAATTTATGTGAAAGATAATCTAGGAGTTTGGCAATAGACAACCAACAGAGCTGTATAAAGTGGTCTTGCAAATACAAAAGAACAAAAGTAACATGTTCTGATTTTTTTGTTTGTTTACTGCATTTCTTCCTTACTTTCTTCCTGGATTGTCACAATAGTTGTCTAGCCAGTTTTCTCTCTCTCTCTTTTTTTTTGACCTTGTCCTTACCCTATTCATCTACCACAATGTTGCCAGAATGTAACTTTTCCAAAATTCAAAGCTAACCACAAGCTTATCTTTCTAAATTTTACCTATGGAATATAATCCCAAATCTTTAAAATGGCCTACAAAAAAAATGGAGACACTTTATAATGCATTCGTTCTTCCATAAATATTCTCTGCTACAGCCATGCTAAGCTCCTTACAAATCTTCATCCCAAGTGTGCTCCTTCTTGGCTCTGTGTCTTAAAACAGGCTTCACATAAATAATGCTACCCATCTAAATAACTTCTGCTTGCCCTTCTCAATTATTCTGCCACATACCACATACCCATGTTACATATGGAATCAGATTTTTTTTTTACAAGTTTGCCTAACTTTCCTGCTTGACTATGAGTTTTTGAGGGTGAGAAATCTTTATTTATTTACATATTTTTTCTTTCTTTCTGTAACTGCATTACATGTAGGAGCACCTCACTAAATACTTGATGAATTAATTAGTGCAAATAATTTATCTTGCATAATAAAGCCAGGTTCCTTCTCTAATGCCATGTTATAAAATCATACCCAGCTTCCCAAAGGCCAATGGTTCACTAGCTTATGAGACTAAATGCATTTCCTGTCTATATTTCAGGCCCTTCAAGGTGTCTAACAGGAGACATTTTCTGAAGGAAAAAAAATGGTAATATTAGTTTTCCTTTAAAGTTTAAGACTCACTTCCTTTTATTACTTCAATAGAAATACTATTTTCTTACTCTAAATGCTCAGTGTTTTAAAGCAGGATAGATATTTGCTTATTTTTTATAAGAAACTTTATATATATATATTCTTTAGCAAAATATTTATCAGTTTTCTGAATAAAGACTGTTCTTTGAGTTGTCTCTGTTACTGATTCCATTGCTCTGAGGGTGAGAGATATTTAATATTCTCTTTTTGAAGGAATGAATAAAAAGGCCCTTTGGACTCTGGTTCCTCTGTGCTACCAAAACTGTTCACACAAATTCACTTCTTTTCTATCTTCACCCTATTTTGTTTCTCGGCATTGTCCAGTAGAGCTAACCATTCTCTCTCTCATGAAAAATGGATTTTTTTTTTCAGCTTCTTTATACTATACCCTTCTTATTTTTTCTTCTTCCTCTCTGGCTGCTCCTCAGTGGGCTGGAGCAGTATTTCCTCTTTTCCCAAACCATTAACATTCCATTCCTCAAGGGTCTCTCCTTCGCCCTTTGTGTATTTCTGATTTTATTCCTCACGTGCAGCCTACATTCTGTGCTTTTGATAAATCCTTTTTTTTTTTCTAAGAGATTGCATTTTTATTTCAAATTGCTGCATTTTAATAAAGGTAGAAAAGTAACTTCATTTGGCTTATTACATGCAAGAGTGTGTTTTAATGAGTGTCGTTCCTTTGGTAATATTGAGCAAGTGGTCAAAGAAGAGAAAACAAACCATTGAGTCATTTTAGAAACAAAATATCAGCAGATACATAACATACAAAAAGAACATTTTATGACTGAGTTTTCTAAAGACAGTTATGTGAAGGACTGGGAAATTTAAAGGTTATATTGCTCTGTAAAATGTAACAGTGATTGAAATCATGTTAGTGAATATAAAATCATTTGTGTTTGTGATTTGGCTTTATGCCACTGAAGAGGCTATTTGTACAGTTAAGATAGTCAAAGTTGTAGCAGTCTCCCTCAGGCAAAAATACTTAAGTTTCTGATAATGTCTACTGACTTGCTTAAAAGAGGATAAAACAACATACCCTCAGGCAGGTGAGAGGATTTAAGTGGAGTCAATTTAGGAAACATAGTGCCTCAGCAAATTCAGAAATTAATCCAGATTAAGACATTTTGCTTTTAGGATCTAAATGAAAAAAAATAGTTATACAGCTCTAAACTAGAAGGTGGAGAAAGTCAAATGCATATTCCATGAAATTCCTCATGTGTTCAATAGCATACGGTGAAAAATTACAGAGAAAAATCATCAGCATGGGTTACCTCAAGCTAGTAAATATGTAACCTTAATTTTTAAGAAATCAATTGGAAATAGGGAGGATTATAATGTCTTCTAATAAAAATAATCTAGAAATTTAGTTATGTCTCATATTTCTGTCTTTTGTATAATACATTTTATGATAAATTACTTTTCAAAGTCGTTATTGAATCTATACTTCCATCCAGAATAATAACATAGTTCTCCTATGTTCCTAGAATAAATAATTGATGAAGCCCCCAGGTCTCTAAAGAAAACGCAAGCATTTAATTGTAACTTTATTGCTACATACGCCTATCCAGGCGAAATTAATAGTGATCTTTTTGTGGTATAAAATTATGTTCTGAGACTAAAGGTACACATCTGAGTCCAACAAACTCCCAGAGACAGATCGATAAGATTATAAAAACAAGAAACATTAAATCAAGAGATTTTGTATATAAAACACACCAACAGCTTTACATTTTGCTCAAAGTTACTTCTGATATTTTTTCTACTTATATTGTAAGAACACAATACATCCATGGTTAGAAGTTTCTTGGTAATGTATTAATGGGACTTGTTTAACACATTTTGGTGACAATAATCTTCAGCTGTGGTATAAATATTTTTTTGTGACCTTCATGACCAGTTTAAAAATTATCTGAAAATTATAATGTGACCTTACCTTGCTTCCATTTTCTCGAGCCTCCCGTTCCATCTTGAGGTCAGAAATTAGAAGATTCTTGTATTTGTTTTTCCCATCACTGCTGTGCTCATCTATTCTGTATTCTGAAGTCAGCTGTGCCGAGAGGGGACTGTCACTCAGGTTCAGTGGCTGCTCGTCCTGCTCCAGCCCAGTTTTGCCATCACCATTGGAGTCGCACATCTCCCTGCTGTGTGTTCCCCCTGAAGCAATTGAACTGTGCCCCAGAGTCTCATTGCCATTAAAGCTCTCTGCAGCAGAATCATCTGTTGTAGAAAAAAAATATATATATTTTGATTTTAATTAATATGTTATTCTGTTTCTACTTCAACTATCATTTATTGAGCTCCTATCATGTGCTTGGCATTGTGCTAACTAGTTTTACAGGCAATGTGGCATTTAGCCTTAGCAATAAATGTGTTTAGCAATCATTGCTATTTTTAATCTCCTAGGCACCTTTAGGCATAAGAAAAAGTGAAGTAAAATAATAAGATAGACTAAACAGTTCAATCTTCAATGAAATCTCAAAGAAATATAAATGCAAGCAAAGGTAATATGATAACGATAAATTAGTTTGCAGATAACTTTTGTTTCACCATTGAAAATACCTAGATTTTGAAAAAATTCTCCAATAAGAACATCTATCCTGCCAGTGAGGTATAATTGGCTCTAACTTTATGAGTATTTAATATGGGCTTAAGACATTAAAAGTGCTTATAAACTTTGTTCTAGTGATTATACTTCTGAGACTTTTAATCCTAATGAGTTTAATCACTGTATCTCTCTGTGTGGTGGTAAAAAAATACTTATTTATACCAGTGCTGTTTATAATAGTGAAACATTAGAAATAACATAAAGTACCATAAATAGAAAATTAACTTAATATAGATTGGAATAATTAGAATATTATGGATATACTCAATGCTCTATTTTAAAGATGTGGGGAAATGTGAATTATGAAGCATTAAATGGAAAAAGCTAGCTACAAGAGAATGTTGTGAATATGATCTCAATTTTGTAAAGAAAAAGCACAGGCACAAAGAGAAAAGACTGAAATGATATAGCCTAAACTATTATATGGATTTCCTCTTAATTGTATAGTACTGGATCATCTAATATTCTTTATTATCTAATAACAAAAATGAGGCAGCTATAGAAAGAAAAACCAAAACAGGGAAGGGAGTGGAGGAAGCAGAGTTAAGCCAAATTTTGTCTTTAAAAATATAATAAGTTCACTTAAAAAATAGGTATAATAATGACTTTTTCCTGAGAATAAAAACAAAAGTTTAAGTAAAACAAATTTCAATTTCTCTTCATTTCACCCTTACATATATGATAAGAGTTTGCTGTTAATTGTAAAAGACAGTAATGACAAGTATATTAAACTGTTTGATTTAATTTAGGGGTTTTGGATGAAACCATGTAATATGAGTAAGTAAAAGTAAAATCATACTAGGCATTTGTAATTTTTGGTTTGATTAATGAGTATTCAAAAGTATTCTTTTGTAGGGTAAAATGACATGTTTAATGTCTCCTAGTGAATTTAAATCCATGAAATGACATTTAAATTGTGAAGGTGTAATACAACTCACCTGTTCATTTATTCAACTATGAATTTATTGAGTTCCTAGTCTGGGCTAAAAGGATGGTAAATCTTTTACCTATAGAGACACTGCCTTCAACAAGTTCACAGATAATTAAAAAAGACAGAAAAACAAACATGCAATTAAAATACAGAACAAGGAAGGATGTGATTAAACGCAAGGGATGGAGATATCTCAGAAGTCTTCCTAAAGAAGGTGGCATGTGAGCTGAATCCCTAAATATGAATAAACCTTAACCAGGTAAAGCTGGGAGAGAATTCCCCACCTAGAAAGCCACAGAGAAAAGGATGCATATCCAGAGGTGAGATTCAAGTGCTGAGTACAAAATACAGTGAAAAAAGAAAGACCTAAAAAAGGAGACATGCATTGGAGACTACTTTGTGTATCAAAGAGCTTGGACTTCACCTTGATTGCAAATACATTTTGATGGTGAAATTGATATGGGAAAAAAAATATGTTTAAAGAGAATACCCTAACTGTGAGGAGGAGACTGGTATGCAGGTAACAAAATTGAAGTTGGGGAGACCAGGTAAGAGACCTAGAAGGCATCATAGTGTGTTGGAAGCAGCAGCAGTACAGAAAAAGTGGGAATGACTAGAAAAAGCGTAAGAACAGAACATATAAGACTGATAATAGACTATACCTGGGCCCAGGAGGATGAAAATAAAGGTCATTAAGGTAAATTTTCATAAAATAATATTTTAAACAATTTTCCAAAATATTTTATGAAAAAGTTTAAATGTGTTCAAATGGCAAGACTCTACAGTTAAATTACTCTTTTCATTGTACCCATTCAAATAAAGTCTTCATGTGGAGAGAAAACACATAATTAGGAAATTGGCCACAAAGAATATAACAGGGCTCTTTACATAACAGTTAGAGAAGCAAGAAACATCCTTTTAACTATAAGATATCTAAAATTTTTGAAACACAGAATTAGTGAAAAGATTTATATAAGCAATTAAGAATGTGTGCATTTTTTTAATGCTAAGTCAAATCTGTATGCTAAAAAAGTGTGAAAGGTCATTTGTGTTACTTCTAAGAAATTCCAGAGAAAAGCATATTGGATGTACTCAAGGACAATTATTTAACTCATGAAGAAAATGTGATTTTACTTTTGTGTAATAAAATCCTTTAAAATATATTAAACATTTCCTGGAAGAAATTTTTATCAATATTTAAAAAGAATGAGTAACTCTAAGAGGTTATATTTTAAAACGCAATCCACATTACCAGAAAAAAAATCCAGTATCTATTAGAGCTGAAAATTAATGTTACATCCATTTCTTTAATCTGTAATCATCACACATACTTAGTAAATAGTGCAACATTCACTCTTTTCAGTTAAGAGAGACATCAGCTATCAGGGGTCTTTAATAAAAATCATGTATTTATAATTTTGGTACAAAATATAAACAATAAAAAAGAAAATATTTTTAGACAGAACAGCTCACTCCAGATGTTACCAAGGTAACAAAACTCAATAGCTTAGAGATTTCATTCCTGAGTAAATCAGGATTTTTTATGAAAAACAAGCAAATGATTTACTTATTTGTATCAAATATAAATTCAAATTTTCATAATTTAAATGGTAAAAGAGCCAATAATGTCACTTGCCACTATTTTGTAAATCAAAATTAATACAAAGTTTTTAATGTATTAGAAAATTTCAATGTAAAGAAGTGAACAGACATTAAACTGAGGATAAATTGACTTTTTTATTGTCTAGTTTCATATAACCACATTAATAATGTTTATTCTCTCTTTTTTTAAAGATTTATTTATTTATGCATACAAGAGCTGGGGTACAGGCCAGAGGTGTGGGAGGTGAGAGGATTCACCAGAGACAGAGTGGGAAAAAGAACAGACAGACCAGAGTACACTGCTGAGGGGAGCAGCAGGTGAGTCAGGAGAGGTCTGCTGTGCCATATGGTTAGCTCCCGGGCCAGGGATCGAACTCGTGCAGCAGAGGCTGCGGACAGCTTCATTTGTTATGTCTTAATCCCTTGTGCCACCAGAATCTTTTTTTTTTAAAGATTCTTTTTTCTTTCAAATTTAAAAACCACAGTCTCAGCCTCCTAAGGCATTTGTGTATTGTACCTTACTCATTAAGCTAATTACTGCTACAATTGAAAGCCAAACAATGCTGTCTGTATTTTGATGTTGTTTGTTGTAACCAATTCACATTAGCTTATTGCTTTAAAGGGGAAAACTGACTCCTTACCCAACATAGTTTGCTCCATCCTGAGTAGTAGGTGATGTGTGGGCTGCTGACTTCTGCTACACAGGAGTAGTAGTGTTTAGGTCTGTAGGATTGACCTTCAGGTTCACAGACCCTGAGAGATGGTGCTTCTTTCAAGTTCAACCTGGCACAGCATTGCAATGAAAGACTGTATTTGTGTCCCAAAGAAAAGCAACACCTGGAGTTTTGGATGTCAGGAGTGCCCAGGGTACCTAGCAACAGGGGAGAATGTGGAATACGATGGCAGGTAATGTGGAATCTAATGACACCAGGAGGGCAGTTAGATGTGTGGCTACACTTGTTCTGTTGTTTTGATGGGACTGCTTTAGAGTAGCAGAGAGGATTGCCCAAGTTAGGTCATTTGTGGGTCTTATCTATAAGGTGTAGCAAAACTACTCATAATGGATTTACTATTCATTTTCTTTCTCATTCCCTATTTCTCATTCCTTCCACCATTTAGTACAGACCCTAAAAATGCTCTTTGTTTAAATAATTTATAATGTGTCTGTCAACATTTTTTTTTTTAAAGATTTATTTATTTATTTAAACAAGCGCTGGGTACAGTCAGAAGCACGGGAGGGTGAGAGAATTCACCAGAGCCAGAGTGGGGAGCAGAGTAGGCAGAAGGACCGAAGTACACTGCTGAGGGGAGCAGCGGGCGGCAGGAGAGGTCTGCGTGCCATGTGGGACCCTCCTCCAGTGGCCGGGAAGCAGCCGGGGATCGAACAGGTGCTGCAGAGGCTGCCGGCAGCTTCGCAACCCAGCGCTCAACTGCTGCGCCACCGGGGAGGCCCCCATCAACATTTTTTACAAAGTAGTTTAATCAGTATCTTATTGAAAAATTAGCTCTCTCTTAATAAATTGAATTAACCTATAACATTATATAGGACATCTGTGTGTATCTACATGTGTACTTAAGTGTGTATATATCTGTATGTATGAGATGTGTATACATTTGAAATCTCCCAAAGTACCTGACCTACTTTCTTATTCAATTACTTTCAGTAGCTCTTCATTATAGACTTTTGGTCAAGTGCCTTAGGCAAAATGAATAAGAATATATATATATATATATATATATATATATATATATATATATATATATATTTCACTCTCATTTTAAGATTATTGCTTGGAAATGTAGTCTTAAAGTCCAGGTCAGGTCCAAAAAGTTTTTTTTTTAACCATTTTCCCCCAAATATATCAGTTTTCTACCTCATCTTTTGATACCTCCTTTGTAAACTTCCCTTTTATATAACCATAAAACTAACTTTTAAACCCAAAATATAAATTTAAATAACCTTGCTTAAAGAGATTAATATCTTAATGTCCCCAAAATAAGAAAAAACTCCTTCAAAATCTATTTTCAACAGATTTTAAATGTAATTCTGCTTTATTACTCCTGATCTCTGCTGTCTTC